TTTTGAGACAGGGTCTCCCTATAGCCCCAGCTGGCCTGGAACTCACTATGTAGACTAGGCTGGCCTTGAACTCACAGAGGTCTGCCTGCCTCTACTTCCTAAGCGCTGGGATCAAAGGCGTGCACTACCATGCCCAGTGAGTGAATATAATCTTAATGCATGTAGGTATGGAGAGAAAATGAACGTCCATGAATTGGATTACCAACTTAATTTTCTCCTTAGTATATTGGATATCTGCAATATATTGGATATCTCCATACAGAATAGAGACCCTGGAAGGCCAACTCTGTTCCCACATTTATTTATTGGAAATAATACTCATCCTCTGTAACGAAGGGAATGGTTAATGAAGTTTACGTATCATTGAAGCAGATAATTTTACAAAGCTGTGTTTTTAAGAATTCAGAATTACGGATCTGACTGTGGGAGTAGAGTCTTAGGGGCAAGACACCTCAGATAACCTAACCCACATGAATTTTTCAAACAATGCCTTTCTGTATGTAAACAGAAAATAGAAAGGGGTATAGGTTTCTGTTCTTGGTATTAAATAGCTGCCTTTCTTCTAGCGCACTGTTCAATTTCTGCACAATGCATAGCCTTCTGCATCCCAAGGAGCATAAACAAAGGCTATCAGGCAAGTTCACCTACTCCCACTTCACAGAACAATGCTTGTTGTTAACTAAGCAATTCCCAGGGCAGATTTATGATGTGTGGGGCCCAGAGTGAGGACTCAGGTTGGGTCTTTGGAATCTGAGGTCAGAAGCACGTGGTGCTGCTCGATCCCCGGGGCTTTTAGAAAACATGACCTACAGTTTACATTCACATGTTTACCAGAGACCATTCAGACATTTTGAGAAATTAAAGCACATTAAGACCTCAAAATGGCTTATTGTTCAAGCTCCAAGATGTAACCTTTGCTTTCTTACTTGCTGTTATGTTTTTCCCCCCCTCTGGCGAATAGAAAAATGTCTACTGAATCAGGAAAGATGAGTCAACTAAATAAATAGAAAATAACCTGATAGAATGACAAATTATATAGATTATTCTTCTTTCTAAATACAAATCTGACTCTGATCTTTTTCCTGTGTTCCTGCACCCTGAGGTTTTCTTGTAATAGGACAGATTTTGTAATCTATATACTTAATTTAACCCACAATATTGCATGAGGTTTGTAAGTCCAGTCACAAATAAAAGTACTTTAAAAGATAAATGCACTCTAGTGAAAGAAAGGGCTTCTCTGCTCCTGCCTTCCAGAAAATATCCTGGCTAGCGTTACATCCCATGGGTTTATATCATGCTATAAACAAGTAACATAACTTGGGGGAGTAGTTTCTAGCCCGTGTTGCTTAGCCCAAGTATAAAAGTGAAATAAGAGACTGTTTATATTTTTATAAGTATGGTTATTACCATTATTAAAACTATGAAATAATTAAATTTCATTACTTTTACTCTTTAATGATCATCTATTAAATATTAGAATTGAGTCATAAAATAGAAAAATACATAAATACACTGGACAGTGTTTGAATAGCTTTACAGTTATTCAAAAGTCCCTAAATACATGAAACTACTAAATGGAATGGCTATTCAGTGCTATATAAATATAACCATATATCTCAAACTGAACAAACTCGCTGATGGATCACTGAAGATGTTCCATCCTTTCACATACTATAAGCATGGCGGTACATGTCTGTAATCTCAGCACTTGGGAAGAAGAGGCAAGAGGATCAGGAGTTCAGGGGCACCAACAGCTACATAGTGAGTTCAAAACTAGGCTGCGTCACATGAGACCCTGTCTGGAATACAGACACCAGGCGCTAGTCTATAATTCAACTGATTTTCTGTGCAGCTAAGTGGCTAAACCATGATCTTTAAACAAGTATTAGATTTCTACATTATTGAAACAGTTTCCAGTGAAGGTCTTGTGTTTGAAAGTTTCACACAGACTTCAACATAAACTGTGAAGTTTAAAATGGGGAAATATAACTTTTAAGAACAATCTGTAAAAACAGAAAGACCAACACTATAGCTATTATAGTCTTCAGAACACTCCTAAACATATGAGGCTATTTTTCACAAGATAATAGCATTAGAAATTTCTGGGTTAGATGGCAGAGGCGGATCAAACCCACAAGTCTTCAATCCCAGCACAAATGGCAAAGAACAAAACTGTCTGATCTGCTCAGCTTTTCCTTGTCTGTTGGCGATAGGGAGTGGAAGCCCACCTAACACCTATGTCGGAGAGTCATTGAAAAAGCAGATGAGTGAGAATGAGACGACAGGAACAGTCCCCTACCCGTTGCTTCCCACTGAATGAACTTTCGACATATCGGCAAACTCCTCTTTTCTCCGGCTGCCGCTGCTGTACTGTTCGCTGTACAGCTTGAGGGACATCTGCTCAACGGCATCTCTTTGTGCTTCCAGGTAGCAGAGCTGAGTTTCGGCCTGGAGAGAGAAACAAAGACGGGTTGCAGTTTTAATCCGGCAGGAATGCACTGCAAGTGAGGTGCAGCTCACAGAGAAAGGGAGCGGCTCACATCACGAGCCACCCTTTGTGGCGCTGGATTCAGTGGGATCATCTGGGCGTATTACAGAATTACATTATAGATCTGAATCTTAGAAGTTCTTCCTTAAAACACGGCCTGAATAAATGGGCTCTCAGAAGACTGTAAATATCACAAATATCGCTGAAACCATAATACTGTTTCATAAAACTTTACATAACAATTCTTTGAAATTCCTTCATAATCCTTGTCCTCAGGTTGTCACATATGTAGCCCTTATTTTTTTAATTTTATTTATTATCTTCATTTTATGTGTATGCATGTCTTGTCTGCATGTATGTGAGTGCACCCGTGTTGTGCAATGCCCACGGAGGTCAGAAGAGGCTGTCGGATGCCCTGGGACTGGAGTTACAGTTGTTAGCCGCCATGTGGGTGCTGGGATTCAAACCTGGGTCTTCTGCAAGAACAACCAGTGTTCCTAACCGCTGAGCCATCTCTCCAGCCCACTGTATTAGAATGTATCACACATTATATATATATTCTTTTCTGAATGTTTATGTTTTTCCCACTGAGGAAGCAAAAAGCCTGGTCTTAATTCTAGCGCTCATCAATAACAATAGACTTCATTTGTTATGGTTTCTGTTGATGCTGCTGTTCTCTGTACCAGTGTCTTCACAGTTTTAAATCATGGGTATAGTACTTTTCTTATGTGTAGACCTGAACTGTCGAATCTTTCATAATTACTTGAGACTCATTGTAAAGGACAGGTAGTAAGTTCACTATGCTTTTTTTTTTTTTTTTTTTTAATCAAACAGGGGTCAAGAGAATGCGGAGTTTTATCTGGCACGGGAATGCACTGACTAGATGTTCTATGTACTGCAGTTGTGACCACCCCCGTGGCTTTGCGGTTCACAAGAATGCCAGAAGAGCCTGGCAGCGGACCCTCCTCCAGAGCGTGCCCGTCATGGTAAAGAGGGGTAAGGCTGAGTTCTCACACACCGTAGGCCACAGGCCCTTACTCTTCTTTTAGGGAGCTTTACAAAATCTAACCTGTTCGTTAACTTTTCTGATAAACTTTTAAACTGTTCATAATTTCACTGAACATTTTCCTAGTTACCAAAATTCTCTAATAGGCAAGACAAGTTAAGCCAGACATGACCTTTGGCTCTGAGCAACCAAGGCCTTTGCCTGTCTCTATTAAAAGACTCAGTCAGCTCTGGAGAAAAGAGGTGTACTATAAAATGATGATTTCTTAAAAGACTAATTAGGATTCCATAAGAAAAATGAGTATCACATAAGAAATAAACCTGAAACTATTCTAAAAATCCGATGTTGTTGCTTTTCAAAAATAGCCAGTAATGATTGCTCTAAATTGCCAATGGAAAATTTAAAGAAACAATGTTAAAATTGTTATGTATCAAAGTTTCAGAAGTTCAAAACCATAACACTCATTCATTCATTTGAATTTTTCTTGCTCAAACCATCTTATTGAATAAGAAGAGATTTAACTGGATTAAGAATTATATTAGGAATCTGGGCATGGGGAAGCACACCTTCTTATCTTAGCACTCTGGCATCAGAGGCAGGGAGATCTCTGCAAGGCAGATCTCTGTGAGGGAGATATCTGCGAGGCAGGGAGATCTCTGTGAGTTTGAGGCCAGCCTGGTCTACACAGTGAGTTCCAGGCCAGCTGAGGCTACAGGGAGACGCTGTCCAAACAACAAACAAACAAAAGTTCTTTTAGGGGCTGAAGATGTGGCTCAGTAGTAGAGCACTGAATTTGATTCCAGTCACCACAAATTGAAAAATAAAAGAAATCTCATGTAGTATATTCAGTTAGGCAGCTGTGGCTGATGGGAAGGCATAAAGGAAATGTTAAATCTAGTGTTATTTTGTGTTGTTATTAGTAAAGGAAGAGTGCAGAATGTCAGTGTGCAGAGCCCCACTGGACCCACGTAACAAGCTCAGCAGCCTAAGAACCTGTAACTCCAGTTTTGAGGGATCTAACACCCTCTTCTGCCTCTGTACACACGGGCTTATGCATCTACATATGTATACATGAGCTTACATGCACACAGACACACATAAATAAATTTTAAAAAATATTTTATTTAGGGCTGGAGAGATGGCACAGTGGTTAAGAACACTGGTTGTTCTTGCAGAAGACCCAGGTTCAAATCCCAGCACCCACATGGCAGCTAACAACCGTCTGTAACTTCAGTTCCAGGGGATCCAATAGCCTCTTTGTCCTCCACAGGCATTGCACAACACAGGTGCACTCACCTACATGCAGGCAATACATGCATACACATAAAATAAAAATAACAAATATAATATTTGCATGACACAGGTGCACTGTATTTGTTATTTTTATTTTATGTGTATACGTGTATTGCCTGCATGTAGGTAAATACGCCCATGTCGTGCAATGGCCACAGAGGTCAGAAGAGGGCATTGGATCCCCTGGAACGGGAGTACAGGTGGTTGTTAGCTGCCATGTGGGTGCTGGGAATCGAACCCGGGTCCTCTGCAAGAGCAGCCAGTGTTCTTAACCGCTGGATCATTTCTTCAACCTCAAGAAATTTTTTCTTTTTTTTTTTTTTTTGGTCTTTTTGAGACAGGATTTCCCTGTAGCCCCAGCTGGCCTGAAACTCACTACGTAGACCAGGCTGCCCTTGAACTCACAGAGATCCGCTTGCCTCTGCCTCCCAAGTGCTGGGACTACAGGTGTGCGCTACCACGCCCGGCAAGAAATAAATCTTTTTAAACAAGGGCATACAAATCCTTATGACAAATGAGATAACAGAGATACTAGATGACAGTTGAAGAACTTAAGATCAGTTCTCCCCAGTGTCCAACCTGCCTTCCACTGCAGAGCTAAGGGCATAATGAGAAGGTTTCCCCAGACTAGAGATACTCTGCTGGAAACCCCATTAGAATAATGCATCTGGGCCATTAGGGAGATGCTTGATATGTAGAGGTTTCTGTCAGTTTTTAACCATATTAAGTAACATGCTGGACCATGGCTCACTCTGGGTAATGATCTCACAAATGTGTGCCACTGTTCACAAAAAGGCTCATAAAGAAGTAGGTAATAGAGACTCATCAGCACTTTGGAAAATAATCAGCATGCATCCCTCGGTGGTCCACAACCATTTCTGTGTACCGATGAAACACCTCTCGTGACAGGGGAATGTGGAAAGGAGCCCAGAGAACAAGGCCGGGAACAACTCAAAAGGTAATTAGTCACCTTGTGAGAATGACTGAAATGTAAGCTGAGGCCTTCACTGTACAACATCCCACAGGCACTTGGCGTAGAAACTTCCCCGCACTAACGAGGAGAAGAACTGGATGACCGGGGTCTTTCCTCTCCCACTCAGTTCTGCCCCTGCTCTCCGTGAATCATTCCTAAGTGTGTTCAATAAAAACAGAACCAAAGCAGATTCTACTGTTAAGGCTGCGGACCTTTGTTGTTCTAATTCTCTCAGCAGACTGTCTTATTTTTTTTTTTTTCTCATACTATGTCTTAGTCCAGAGATAAGCTTTCAGGAGACAGATTTGAAGAAAATACTGCTATTACAAACAGAAATAGGCAGGGTGTGGTAGCACAGGCCTTTGACCCCAGCACTTGGGAGGCAGAGGCAGGCAGAGCTCTGTGTGTTCAAGGCCAGCCTGGTCTACACAGTGAGTTCCAGGCCAGATGGGGCTACAGGGAGACCCCGTCTCAAAAAAACAAGCAGCAAAACTAAACAAAAACAGAAATGCAATTTCTCTGACTAAAAGAGATTTTATTGTCATTTATGAAGCTCTTATTTTAACATTATATTATCATACTGGAACATTCAGCAATATTATTTGTCTGCCATTGAATGATATCTTAATGATATTAATATTTACAGTTTTATGACTCTTTTTGGTTTTGTTTTTAATCTGTATATAACTAAAAAGAAGTACTTGGGCTTTATGCTAATTATACATGACAATTAAAATTTATTCAGCTTTCAATAAAGTAAAAATAAACAAAAAAATTCACTGTTATTTTACATAGCCTGATTGATATTAAAGATATGCAAATATGATTTGGAAATTTACTCATTTATTCAATAAAAGGAGCAGGACTTCGTGGTAGGGCCACTCTAGTTCCCAGGAGGCAGAGATGTCCGTGGTGGCGTCAGCTGGGGTGAGACTGTTAAGTACCAAGTGAGCAGGTGGAGAAGTGAGCTAAGCCCAGGTCATGCCGGGAGGCTCAGAGGACGCTCAGTCTGGTGGAGATACTGGAACTTGGATGCCGTAGTTGAAATGAAGGCAAGGAGAAGGTCATGGGACAGACTAGACAGTGAGAGGAGCACAAGGAGCCCTCCTCACAGTATCCGGCCTTTATCACCTTTTGGCTGGCAGGATGCGACAAACCCTCCATTTCTCCACCTCCCTTCATCTCCATCCAAAATTCAGTTTATATCTTGTTCTCCAACTGATCTTTTTGAACCACAACTGAGACCTGGTGATCAGGTTTGCTCCGGGCCCCTCTTTACCCTTTCTAGCATTACATAAAAGTCATCTATAAAGTAATGTCTTCCACAATCTCCTCTGAGCTTTACACTTTCATATACAACCAGTCACCTGACTTGGATTATCTTGGGTCTTACCTTTAACTCTCCATTCTCATCCCCTCCACATCCTTTGAATCTTTCCAGAGTTAGGCCTTTCCTATTAAACAAACAACACTATCTCCTGTTCAGGTCAGAAACTGGAGAGTCCTTCTTGATGCCTCCTCTTCATTCCCAAGCTACTTCCTTCACTGTGGATTTGCTGTCTGCACTGTCCCTGCAGTGTGCATTGCACACTCCTTTCCGGTCTGCGTCGCCGCCAGCCTAACTCATGCCTTTATCTCCTCTCCCTTGCATTATAACGATTATTTTCTAACCTATATCTCCTCTTCCT